GGAGGCTGCTCACCAGCAGCGGGCACGGGGAACTCTGGAGGCTGCTCACCAGCTCAGGGCAGGGGTGACGGCTTGACCCAGGGGCCGGGATCTCCGGCAGCTCAGGGCAACGGTGACGGCAAGGCCCCACTCCGGGCAGGGGGATCGCCAGCCGTGATCCTCACAGCAGTGCTCCGCCACAGAACTCCTCCAGCGGGATTGCTCCGAACCACTGCCACGGGCTCCACCGTCTTATTTGGGTCCGCATCATGCGTCTCTCACCGTTACTGTGGTCGGATCCTACTGTCATGATTGGGGAGTTTTGATGAGGTGAGCAAGGACGCAGGCAGACCCAGGTTGAAGTGATGATGATGATTTAATGATAATAATCCACGGGACAGAACAACGGGGAGCACAATGAACACATGACGACACATGAAAACAGGCTGGTACACACGACGAGGATCCGACAAGAGACAAAGACAACAGGTGGGACTAAAGTCACTGGGAGGGTAATCAAAGAAACGAGACACATCTGGGAACAATCAACAGGGAAGACAGAGGCTCACAGAGGAACAGGCTAATAAACACAGAAAAACCTCAAAATAAATACACAGAAAACACAGATCACAACACAATTGTCCTTCACAGACATGCCTCCATGCAGAACTCTGACACCCACTTTCTGCAGTTTGTTACAAATGTGCACAAACCTCCACGGATGAAATCCCTCTGGTGGAGTGAGCTCTCAGATTCTCTGGAGGATCCAATCCAGAAGAAATGTAAGCATGTGAGATGGCCTCACCCAACCAGTGAGAAAGACGCTGGGCGGACAGAGGACGTCCCACTGAGTTATCTCTTTAATGCACGAACAGACGCTGAGAGCGACGCAGTGCAGACGTGTGTGCCACATAACAGCAGAGCGCGCGCACGGGACAGAGAAGATGAGATGCAGCTTTTAGGAGTAAAAGCAGGATTGGGACGCAGCACAGCTGAGCTGCCATCGGCTCGTATTCTGAGACAAGAGGAGCAACAGAGAGCAGAAAATTGCTCACTCTCTTTACAGACGTAAGGGCCAACAGCAAAGCAGTTCTAAAAGACAGTAACTCAAGAAAAGTCTGATTTAAAGGCTCAAATGGAGCTTTTACCTGAGCACGCAGGAACAGACTGCTGTCTAATCCCATAGAGGAGCAAATGGGTGTGACACAGGTGCGCTTCTGCGCATGCCTCTCAGAAACCGCTTCATCAGCAGGCGGTTAAAGACCGTTCTGTCACCAAAACCCTCATGGCAGGAGGAAATAGCTGCAGCATATGTTTTAATGGTGCTGAAAGCTAAATTTCTGTCCATCAGCTGCTGGAGAAATGACAGCACGCAGCCTATCCATCCATCCATCCATTTTCTTTACACCCTTGTCCTTTAGTGGGGTCGGGAGGGGTGCTGGTGCCTATCTCCAGCTAACGTTCCAGGCGAGAGGTGGGGTACACCCTGGAGAGGTCACCGGTATGTCGTAGGGCGCACGCAGCCTAAAGGACATGAAATGGGCTCCATTCCCACTCCCGCACACCAGCGTTGAAAGGCTGACCACTTTGAAGCATATAGCGCTGTGGTAGAAGTGGCTTGTGCGCACTGTATGGTACCCACATCCTGTGGGAGACCAAACCTCTCTAGGCACTCCCGTTCAGCCGCCAGATCCAGAGATGCTGGCCTATTTCTGGGTGGCTCCTGATCCCTGCCCCGGCCTGGAGGAGCGCGTCCTCCCTCCATGGCAGCTTCCAGCAGCTGGTGTCGTCCTGACACCAGCTGCTGCAGACTGGGAAACAACGCTGCCTTCTTGCGCTCGGGTGCATTACCGATTACCGACAGCTGTTCCTCCCGAACTCGGTCCAGGAGCCTTGGAATCAATGGAACTGGCGAAACGCATAAAGGAGCAGTTTTGGCCACGGGCTGTGAGCGAAGGCGTCCACCCCTAATGGTGGGTCTTGTGGGCTCAGTGAGAACCGCAGCTGGCACTGCACGTTCTCCCGCGTGGCGAACAGCTCCACTGCTGCTCTGCCGAATCTGCTCCATATTTGAGCGACCTGCTCGGGATGGAGACTCCAGTCCCCGTGGTAAGGACCGCCCCTGGACATGATGTCCGCTCCTCTGTTCAAGACGATGGGGATGTACACTGCTCTGATCGAGAGCACAGCAGCTGTCTGGCGATGTTTAACAGCTGAGCGGAGCTCACGCCTCCCTGGTGATAGATGTAGGCTGCTGCCACTCTGTTGTCTGTGTGGATCAGAACATGATCCACACACTGACCCTGCAGCAGAGGATCAAAGTGTTGAGTCACCTTCAGCACTGCCAGGAGCTCCAGCACGTTTATGTAAATAGACATGTGGTCTGGCCACTGTGCTCCAACCACCTGAGACAGACATGTTCCTCCCCATCTCGTCAGGGATGCGTCTGTGAACACCGATATGTGTGACGTGGGTCTGCTGAGGGGAACCCCCTCTGCCAGAATGCTGGGGCTCCTCCAGTGGGTCATATCGGCTCCCACTGAAGGAGGAACAGAGATCGTGCGCCTCTTCTGGTGCACAGGATCTATGCGCAGGCGAGCGAACCATCTCTGTAAGCATCTCATGTGCAACAAACCCAGTGGAATCACAACGTAAGCCACTGACATTCCCAGCAGCCGCATGACTGACAGAGCAGTCATTATGCTGCGAGGCCTGACATGGCGGAGCTGTGCTGACAGAGCTTCAATTCTCGGCTGTGCCAATCGGGCTCTCATCATAACTGAGTTCAGCTCCACTCCCAAATAAAAGATCATCTGAGATGGAATAACCAAACTCTTATCCCAGTTGCTTCTGGGTCTGAATGGCGGCTTCCTCTCTGGACCGAGCCAGTAAAAGCAGGTCATCCAGATAGAAGAGGACTCTCATCCCTGCCATGTGCAGTGGTTGCAGCGTTGCTTCCACACATTTGGAAAACATGCGCGGGGCGAGACAATAACCAAATGGCAGACGGTTGTACTGATACTGGGTCCCCAGGAAGGAGAAACGCAAATACTTCCGGTGTTTCAGGATGATAGGGACGTGGAAGTATGCGTCTTTTAAATCTACGGAGGTGAACCAGTCATCCTGGTGAACATTTTCCATCACTTGTCTGATTGTTAGCATGTGGAATGGCCTCTCTACAATCGAGCTGTTGAACAGGGACAGATCGAGAAAGAGTCTCACTCCTCTTGTTTTTGGGAACCAGAAAATAGCGGGAATAAAACCCAGCGTTTTCCTCTCCCTGGGGAACCGTGGAAATTACACCTTTTGCCACAAGTTCCTGCAGCTTTGACATGAGAGCGGAGTTCTACTCCGGAGAGGATAGAAGCGTCTCCATGATCCCCTTGAAAGGCAGAGGCCTGTCTCCAAACTGCAGCGTGTTACCCCTGCTGATTAGCCAATCCATCCACCTGTCCAGGGAACATGCGTGCCGCCACTCTGAATAATATTCTGAAAGCGGGCTTGCATTTATGTGAGGTGCTGTGGTTCGCATGAACTCCAGCCAAGTCAGAGCCCCTACCGCCATCCACTGCCTTGGACATTCTCAGAGGGGGGGGGAACCAATGGGGAATTTGGCCAGCAAGGGCTGGTTGTTAGCCTCCATGCAGCATGACGCGACAGCGTTGATGTCAGGCCTAGGGCGAACCCGCGCGCTTGCTGAAGAGGCGTCAGGGTGCTTGAGACACCATTTCGGTGCAGATTGCTGCCGGACAGATGACAAACAGTCGCCACTCACAAGGTGAGATGAGTGCGAAGCTGCAGCTGGAATCACAGTAGGCTTTGACTGTTCACAGAATGCGCTCTTGTACTCAGACTGCTCAGAAGAGGCATACTTATTCACTGAGACAGAAAAATTCTGTGTAGAAACCATGGAGCTGCAGTGCCTCCTAAACAGCTGCCTAGAGGCTGCCGACTCGCTGTGTGTGGGAAATGTGTGCAAGGAAAGGAAGCTGCTGTGAGATCAGCTGATCTGACAGAGTTGGAACCTGCAGGAATTTTGCTCTCAGCGATATGTTTGTGTTTTATTTCAAAATATTTCACATTACCACACACATTCCCCCCAGCTAGTCATTTCCTAGCTTGCCTTCTCCGTGGTCCCTGTGGCTGGCCGGAACCGGATGGTTCGGACTGACGTCCTCTGGGGAGACGCTAGGTCACTGGCTGGCGAAAAGAACTGCCAAGAGGTGGAGGAGGGTGGCAGAGCGGAATGGGAAGAGGCTGCAGTCTCTGGTGTTGACGGCGGCCACATCGGTCCCCCTAGCGGCCGGAGGTGCAGGGGACAGGTTGTGGCCGTTCCAGGCGGAGGACGGACTCCGAAACCTTCTGGGTCTTCTTAGACTCCGATAGGAGAGACTGGAAATTGGCACCAAACTGCACATTGGGGTGATGTGACATCCAGCAGGTCCTTCTGGAGCTTCTTGGACATAGATGGTGAGAGGCGGAGCCAGGTGGTCCTCTGGATCAGAGTAGCCCAGGTAGCTATCCGAGAAGAACAAATCGCTAAGGTGGTGCACAGATTGAGTATGGCATCAGCCGCCTTGCAGAGAGAGCCCGTCAGCTCCTCTGGTAAGGCAGCTTCCTCCACCCTTTTGGAGATGCCGTATGCCAACAAAGCAGCATTATTGGTGGCAGCCGTTATCTGATAGGCGCACTGGTGGGCCCGGTCAGAGAACCTGGTAATCAGTTGATCATGCACAGGCCGCTGGACTAATCCTGATGTCCTGGCCCCAGACACGTCAGCGAGGCCCGGATCCAGAGTAGGAACAGAGGGAAAACTCCGCTCCATAAACCCCTCCACCCTGGTGATAGGCGCATAAGTGCAGACAGGTGCCCTTGGCTTTGCGGGCTCAGCCTCAGATTTGTAAGCTATTACATAACTGAGGCCAGATGGTGTCCGAACGGCAAATCGGTTCGGTGCCAAACCGTCCCACCAGATCATTCGAACGTGGTTGGGGGACGGGAAGCCCCTTAGCGCTAGCCGCCTCCTTGATCAAGCTAGGTAGCCCGAGGAGGAGCAAGCCCACAGCTAGGAGCGTGGTTGAGTCAGACATACGGAGCCCGGGGTTGACTGAGCATCTGCTCAGCCGCCTCTCTTCCACCACGGTGCTTCCCAGCTGGGAAGCAACATCCGAACCGCTGCTGCTCCTGCTGTCGTCCTTGTCGTTATCGTCCTTGCTGCCAGTGGAATCATCCGACTCCTGCTCAGTGTAGCTAGCATCCCGCTCAGCTTAGTTAGCATCTCCTCACAACCAGAGACCGGATTCGGTGGGCCTGGCCCCCCGCCTAGCACCAGCCTTGAAAAAATCTAGCCTCCGCCTCCTCTTCTCCAGTGGGAGGAGAGCACAGGGGCGGCAAGAGGGCTGAGGCGTCAGGGCGAGGTCAGCGTGCTGGGGCCCAGGCATCCCTCGCAGATCCAATGCCCGTCAAGGACATGATGTACCCCGTCTGATAAGACGGGTACAAATGGATGTTCGCTCTTAAGACAGTGCTATCTTACGCTGAAGAAAAAGAAGGAGCCGTTTGTCTGGTCTGACCGTTATTTATACAGACAGGGGTGGGGCCCACACAGTAGGTGGGCGTGGACTAAGCCTTTTTTCAGTGCTGTGCTGCGTGCGAGGGATAAACCCACTAGCAATAGCCTTAAAAGGCGAAGCCTATGCGAAATAGAACTCCTACCACCATCATCCTGCCATTATTGACCTTTTTCAACATTTTTCTCTCACTACTTTGACTGCCCTTATTATATAGGCAATGACAGTTGTTTTTTTTTTTTTTTTTGCACAGAGAACTCAATGTGCCACATTTCATAGGGTGATCAAACAATGGCTTTTGTTTCTCAAAAGTCTTCTCTGGGCCTTTTTGATCCTGTAGGAACTGAAGCACCTGATTCTGGAAGCAGCAGATGGCTTCTTGTTTGTGGTGGCGGCAGAGACTGGCCGAGTCATCTATGTGTCGGATTCTGTGACTCCAGTGCTGAACCATCCCCAGTCAGAGTGGCTTGGCAGTACCCTGTATGAGCAGGTTCACCCAGACGATGTGGACAAGTTGAGAGAACAACTCAGCACTTCAGAAAACTCAATGACAGGTAAATGTAGTTGCATATTTTTTTTCTGCTAACAATTGCTCTGGTTATCATTTGTGTTAAATATTTTATGTTTTACTTTATGGTTGCCAGAATCTGGGAGTCTGAAAAATCTACAACCCCATGCAAAAAATTGAGCTATATCATGGTTGGAATGGTTGTGTGTGCCATTCCTGCTATAAGAGATGAAAATGAGAGTAGACACTGCCCTAAAATGAGCTGTTAAATGAAAAGATCAGATAAGGTCACATTAAGGCAAAAAAATAAACACAATTGGGTCACTTCAGGCTGAAGTGTGAACGTGGCCAGAGTCTCTGTGAGCATTTCTTAAAAATATAGTCAGTTTTTTCAGCATAAGTGAGCTGACTGTCCAGGAATGACCTAAAGTATTAAAAATTGCCACATTTTCAATAGGTTGGTCATCAAGTGAAACTGGGCCCGCTTTAAGGTCTTGTTTAGATAATTAAATTAGCTCTACATTTTAAAGAAAATTAGATAGTTTGGTGTTTTAAAGAATGTATCCTTTATGAAGTTAATAATAATTAAAGTTTGTGGTATTCTGATTTAGTGATGTATTTATGTTAGCTGTGTTACCACCCTCACACCACTAGAGACAGTAAAAGACCCCAAAGGATTCTACTTACGAGCAGATTTAGAAGTACATATAAAGCTTCAGAATTTTAAGAACTGTGAGCGGTGCTGTAGTAAATAAAAGAGAGAAGTTTAAATACATGCCGACAGTGGATCTCCTTCCTAAAGGTGAAAATATCACAGATTTTAAAATAAATTAAAAACAAGAGGCCACAGATAATATAAGAAATAGCGTCCTCTCATTTCCGAAGTGCAATTGTCCCATTTCCAAATATGGTATGAGTCTGTCGCATGGTCCTTCCTCACCCATTTCTGTTTGCTGCAGTGAGGTGTACTTGGATGTTACTACTGGCAAAAATCACAAAGACGACAGGAAGCAGTCTTTCTTTGTGGTTTGTAGTTTGTTTGTTTTCTCGGACAATGTGCAACTGGCTCCACCAAAGCTCTCACAGTATTGCACAGTTCATAAAAACTGTGCAATACAGTTTTTATGAACTGTATTGCAACAGATGATTGTAATTGTAACAGGCGATTATAAAATCGCCTGTTACAATTTCCTCAAAACGCAGCATATGTAGCCGCTCCCAAGTAGACGACAAACTGTGTTGCCTTCACATTTTATTTCCCACTTCCATTTGTGGTTCCATAGGACGAATTCTGGACCTGAAGACGGGGACCGTAAAGAAGGAAGGGCAGCAGTCTTCCATGAGGATGTGTATGGGCTCCAGGCGCTCCTTTATCTGCCGCATGAGGTCTATTGATTACTAAGAAATATTACTTTAGTTAAGAATAACTAACTTATTAGTTAGCTATTCTTAACTAACTAATAGTTAGGTGCCTTTTGCATTATGGTGCAAAAGGCACCATAATGCAAAAGGCATTGTGGTGCCTTTTGCATTATGGTGTTTCCCCTAAACTATACAGAGTAGGTGAGAGCTCGGGTGCAGGGCCGGACTCGTTCTGCATGACTCTATTTTCTTTGCTATTTTCTTAATGCAGTGGTTCCCAAACTTTTTCTCCTGGGCCCCCCCAGTGGTTTCCAAACTATTCCTGCTCCCCCCCCCAATGGCTTACAAATAGCTGTCTGGTTGAACGATGTGTGTGAGCGAAGGGGCCAG